AGGAGGAAGAAGCAGTACCCTCACCACAGTGTTGTCCCTGGGTAGAAATCAGGAAAGACTTCTCTATCTTGAGAATTCAACCAACATGAGCTGCTTCTGTCAATAGCAGACCAATGTGTTAAGACACCAGTTCAAAAGGAGCTAACACAAGCCAGTCATCCATGTAGTGGTGGAAGTGCACCCTTGAGCATGGATAAGTCAGGCAAAAGCAATGACCACTCAACAAAACACGTATGGTGCTGAAGCCTGAAAGGTAAAGCACAAAATTAAAATACAACCTCATTGGGGACAAACTGATGATAGGGTCAGGATTGATGAGAATTGTAAGTATGAAGGGTAGCATCTGAGACATCCACAGACCTGGAGAAAAAGTCCACCAAAGGGTGAGAAAAGATTCCATGGTAAAACAGGGAAGATTCAAAAATTGGTTGAGGCAGGAAAAAGCAATCACAGAATGCCAGTCCCCAGTCTTCTTGGGGATGACAAAAAGCCTGGAGTAAAACCTGGAGAAGGCTGGCTTACAAGCTCGATAGTACACTGAGAGAAGAGTCTGAACAGCCTCAGATAGATACTGACTGGTAGTGGGAAGGATAATGGAACCAGAGACAACGAAGAAGGAGAGAAGAAACAAAGAAAAATTCAACCTGAGAAGCTCCTGATCACATAAAGGATTGGAGTAAAATCCAATGCTGTTGAAGAAATCAGAGAAATGTGCCCCTACTGGGCTAAACACAACCAGATAATCACTGGAACTGTTGGCAGCAAAGAGTATGACTGCAAGTCAAATGACAGATTGACAGACCCTTGGAGTATGAAACAGGCAAATGCTGGAAGGGTGAAGGACAGGAAACAGGTATAGAGTAAGGTACGAGAGCAGACTGAGACAAACAAGCAACCAAGAAAGAAAGGATTTAGTATTGCCTCACAGATTCCATATGTTACTCCAAAGATTCAGGAATATCTCCAAAAAGAGACCTATGGAAAAAAAAAAAAGAGCCATCCACAGGTCATAAAGATATGTATAGATCAGAGATGTAAGGTGAAGATGAAGGCAGAAAAATTGGGCATGGAATAAACAGACAGGATCCACCTACCAGAAAGGCAAAAATGACTAACTACTGAAAGTCAAGAAAGCTCTCAATTGAAAAATGAAATGCACAGCATGAACTCTAAATTCGGGAGAAGGAGGGATGACAAGATAGTTGGACGATAGGGCAGTGTGTAACTCAACAGGGAAAAAATCACACAAAACTAGGGTTACAGAAAAACGTAACACACCTAAGAAAACTTCCATATAATCTAAGGTAGGCCTAGCAAATTCCACAGGAAAGGGAGGTACAGACAGGCATTGAAAAAAAAAAAAGCTGTCAATATCTTCCTAATCATGAACAGGCACTACAGGGATAGGAGAATCCCATACAATGTTGGAAAAAGAGGGATGAAACACAAAATTCAACTCCCTGCAAATGATGGCTAAAAATCCTCATCAAGACCACCACTCCTGAAGCCTGTATCACAACAATCAAAGAAGTGCTCACTGTAGCTAAAGTTGTGACACAAAGTACCGAGTTCATAATTGACTGTGAGAAAAAGGTGAAAAGAATTAACAAAATAAAGGTAATATTTCTTGAAGATAAACTATAGTGAAGAAACTGTAAAAAAAAATTATTAAAAATATGAAAGCAATACTTTGAAAGAAAAAAACTTACAATAAATGAAACATCTACACAAGACCACTACCTAATGAGAAGTAATGGTTAGGTAGAATCAAATAGAGGGAGTCACGTGGATCAGCAGGATGTGGCACACTCCTATTAATGAAGGATTGTCGCATGATGATTTACATGCAAAGCCACAGTGAACCACGTTGATCGTGGAGTAGCTGGGAGTTTTAAGGCTTATGGCATGTAAATTGCTTTTACAGGGAAGCACTGAACGAAAATAGCTTTAATGTCAGTGGAGGTAAGGTACCGGGTCGGAAATAATTATAATACACTAAGTGATACCTATCAGCTCTTAACCATCTTTAGAGAGGAATACAACATTGTTACACTGACCATGAAAAGCCACAGTAACAGTATTGGAGAGGAATGCAACATTGTTATATTGACTATGAGAAGCCACAGTAACAGTATTGGAGAGGAATGCAACATTGTTATATTGACTATGAGAAGCCACAGTAACAGTATTGGAGAGGAATGCAACATTGTTAGATTGAATATGAGAAGCATAGTAAAAGTAATTGAGAGGAATGCAACATTGTTAGATTGACTATGAGAAGCCACAGTAACAGTAATGAAGAGGAATGTAACGTTGTTAGATTGACTATGAGAAGCCACAGTAACAGTAATGGAGAGGAATGCAACATTGTTACATTGACTATGAGAAGCCACAATAACTAAAAAAATTAAGATCTCCCTCAGAGAACAGAAGTGCAAATAATAGGACTTTATTCCCATCTGATCTGTTTACCGTGGATTAATATTTTTTTATGCTTTTCTTAACTGTGAAAGTAAATTATTATTCCTTTATAAGCTTTAAGCAACCAGCATGTAAAGTTTTCCCAAGCTACAGAAATGTGAATAAATTAATGATTGTTACTTTAAATTAAAATATTTTATTTTTAAAGTAAAGAATGATGACACTAAAAAAACCCTGAGAAACAAAGGGGATTACAATTATTAAACATAAAAACAATGAAAATAAATAATGAAGAATGCAGAAACTGGATTTTGTTTTGTATATAGAAAAATAATTCAAAAAGGAGATGCTACACAAAATCTACAAGCTTCCAAAATCACATATTGTAGATACCAAATCTTTAATTACTTCATGGAAATGCAATTTTGTTAGGTTCCAAATTTTGTCTAGTTTTTCATGACATACTCCAAGTTAATTATATACAGTTTGGTTTAATATTTAACTAGAAACAAGCAAAATATTAACTGATAAAAGGATTTTTCAATGATTTAATATTCGATGAAAAATGCCAACCTAGGCTGTAAACTGTGTAAACTTCGGTCAATTTGTTTTCCACAAAATTCTCGAACAGACACAGGATCTCCAATGTTCATGAAAATGGAGCCAAAATTATCTCTGAGAATACTCCTTGCTTTGATCAGACCCTGGGGAGTAAATACAGATAAGTAACAGTTATAAAAAACAAAGATACGTGAATATAAAACAGTTTTCATATTAGGTATTTGTTTTTCCACAGAGAAAAAAAAGCTATAAATAACTGTTGTCACTATTTCATCAGATGACCAATTTTGAGCAATATACAACTTTCCATGGAATGTTAACAGTTTCCTTTACATAAGCAACAGTGGCTATTTGCTCCTCTAAGAAATATGTTTGCTCTCCCACGGAAGAACTTTCACATTTTCAACATGTTTACTTCTACAGAATAACTGCTGTCTTTACATGAAAACTTACACATTTTATAAGTGTTTACTTCTATAGAATAATTGCTGAATTTACAGAAAAACTTACACATTTTAAATGTGTTTACTTCTATAGAATAACTGCTGACTTTACAGGAAACTTACACATTTTAAATATGTTTACTTCTATAGAATAACTGCTGACTTTACATGAAAACTTACACATTTTAA